TTCCCTCATTTTGTAATAATTAGTATATGTCTAGAATAGTCTCAGCAGAGGCTCACAAAAGCTCAATAGCTATTTACATATGACCATATAAGATGATGCTAATCAGCATGAACTCCAACATATGGAAACAAGAGGTATTTTTCTTGTTGTTTGTTTTTAATGTATTGTGTGAAGTTATTTCTTTTTTCTTTCCCCTCCCTTTGGTTTAATCCCCTATTGTCACTGTATTTTATTCTGGTACCCTGCATCTTGTATATACATTAACCTGATTTCGGAAATGGTAGGGGAATAACAAAATGGAGAGACAACGGACAAAGGGAGAATCAATGCAACAGCGATACTCACAAGACAGTATGTAGGAAATGAACTTTACAACGGGGAGGGGGGGAGCAGAGGGTGGGGGCGGGAAAGTGGGAGAAAAACAGGGAGGGAGCAACAATGTTCAACAAGAAATGTACTCGCTATCTGACACATGTAACTGTAACTTCTCTGTACATCACTTTGACAATAAAATTAAATTTTTCTTAATCCCATATATTTTTACAAATTGCCGCAATCTGCTGGCATTCCATAAATAAAAATAAAACTGAAAATGCTAGCATAAAATCAATGACAGGTAAGCATTCCTTTGAAAATACCTTTATTGATATTTGTATACTGAGTAGTGATATAAAATATATTTCTTGCTGTGGGTTACAATTAATCCTTTAAGATTTTCAATCTAATGGATTTACATATACCACCCTAAACTTAAGAGCATCCACCATTCCTGTCAAGCACATAAAAAACATTTATAAACCTAACCATTTACTAAGTACAAAAGAAGTCTCAACAAATTCAATATTGACATCATATTTGATGTATATATTAATATACACTGCCAACCTTCAAATATGCCTTTGAGATGGGTATGGATAGAAAAAAGAGTATGGATATGACAGAGGAAAAAAAAAACATTTTTGTGCCCGTCCTGGGGTTTGAACTGCCTGGGTGCAGTCCCTGAGCTTTAGTGTTCAAGGCTAGTTAAGCCCCAGCTCTACTTCCAGCTTTTTTTTGATAGATATTTGGAGATAAGAGTCTCACAAGCTTTCCTTCCCAGGCAGGCTTTGAACAGAAATCTTAGATCTCAGTCTCCTGAGTGTCAAGGATTATAGGTGTAAGTCACCGACGTCCAGTTAGAAAAACATTTTTAATGGTAGTCAAAATTCACAAATAATGCCAGGGTACCAAAATCAAATACAATAAAAACAGAAGCTATACCATCAGAAGAAGAACATACAAAAGAAACAAAAGATCACATAGTGCATTACAAACAACAATAAAGACAAACCTCTTGTGTCCAAGTCTTGGAGTTCATTTTACTTAGCATCATCTTATATGGTCATATGTACATAGCTATTGAGCTATTCTGTTCATCTGCTAAGATTATCCTAGATGTATACTAATTATTATAAATAAGGGAAATCGTGGGACCTATGTTTCTCTGGGTCTGGCTTATTGTATATACATTTATTTGAATTAGAGAAGGAAGGGAAACAACAGAATGGTGAGACAAAGGACAAGGGGGAACCAATGCAACAGCAATATACACAAGACAATATGTTAGAAAGGTTCTGTTACTGGGCTGGGAAGGTGGCTCAGTGGTAGAGCGCTTGCCTTGCATGCATGAGGCCCTGGGTTCGCCTCAGCACCACATAAGCAAAAAAAAAAAGAGCTGGAAGTGGCTCTGTGGCTCAAGTGGTAGAGTGCTAGCCTTGAGCTGAAGAGCTGAGGGACAGCACCCAGGCCTAGAGTTTAGGCCTCACGACTGGACTAAAAAAAACAAACAAGCAAAAAAAAAAAAAAAACTTAAATAAAGAAAGGTTCTGTTACAATTTGGGGGGTTGGAGGGGGATGGAAAGTAGGAGAAAATTAAGGGAAGGGGTTACAAGGTTGACAAGAAATGTACTCATTACCTTACTTATGTAACTGAAACCCCTTTGTACATCACCTTGATAATAAAAAAATCTAATAAAATTGAAAAAAATAAAAATTAACAAATAAAGCCTGGCACCAGTGGCTACTCAGGAGGCTGAGATCTGAGGATGGCGGTTGAAAGCCAGCCCAGACAGAAAAGTTTGTGAGACTCTTACTCCAATTACCCACCAGAAAATTGGCACTGTGGCTCAAAGTGACAGAGCCCTAGCCTTGAGCTGAAGAGCTCAGGAACAGTTGCTCAGGCCCTGAGTTCAAGCCCCATGACTGACCAAAAAATATTCACAAATAAAATTAACCACTTTCAAGTGTACAATTTAGTGGCATTTAGTACATTCACAACTTGGTACAACCACGACTGCTACCTAGTTCCAAACCACTTTCATCATCTCAAAGAAAACTCCAAATCTCTACTCCCTGGTTTATAGGTCTCTTTCCCATCAGCCCCTAGAAACAACTCACCTGTTTTCTGTCATATGTCTGCCAACTCACAGTACTTTCTACACATGGAATCATAGGGTATGTATAGCTTCTGAAACTTACTATGTTTTCACGTACAACCTATGTTTTATGTATCGATAAAAAAGAAAATTCCTAAGACTACAGATGCAGAAGAGTAGAACCCAAAGCACAGAGCAAGCCACTGAAGAAGCCTGCCTCACCATGGCCTGCTTTCAAAGTCAAGAGCAGCAATAGTAAATTCATCCTCCCAAGAGAGATGGAGTCCTATACAAATCCACAAAGAATCTACTTGTCTAAAAAATGTATTGTCATGTAGCCTCAGGTTTCACATCCCAAAATTCAACCAACTATAGATCAAAAATATTTCAGGGAAAAAATACTGTGGCTCATTCATAAGATTATTTCTTTGTTGCTATGTACGTCCTTCCCCCACAGTATAACCCCTACTTTCACTGTATTTGATGTTGGTATAATTTGTGGAGGGGAAGGGGAAAAACAAATCGTTTAAATAGGGATACAGGTGGACCCATTGCAACAATGAGATGTACAAGTCGTTATGTCGAAAACAAACTTTACAACTTTGGGCGCGGAGGATGGGGGGGGCAGGGGGAGGATGGGAAGGGATGGGAAGGGAGGAGGCTACAATGCTTGATAAGAAATGTACTCATTATCTTGCCCATGTAATTGTAACCCCTCTGTACAGTATTTTCACAATAAAAAAATTCTTATTTATCATCTCAAAAAAAAAAATACTGTGGCTGCAGTGAACATGTACACATTGTTTTTCTTACTGTTGTCCCCTAAACAATGTTATAACGATTTAGGCATCACTTGCATTGTACTAGGTATTATCAGTAATCCAAAGTAATGGATTATGAGTAATCTGTTTAATGGATTTTATATAGATGGTTTAAGTGAATACATACAAGTTATATGGAAATATTATATCACTTTATATACAGATCTTTGCATCATAGATTTTAGTGTCTAGGGGTCCTGGAACCAACCTCTTACATTTACCAAGGAATCACTCTATGTTTGTGTGTATGCAGGTGAGTGTTATTATATATAAACATTAAAATATATACACATAACAATTTTTATAAAATGTACGCCTATATTACTTTCTCTGCCCACAAGGTGGAAATCATATGGCATACTTTGAAGCAAACTTAAAGAAAAAGATAGAGGAAGTACCAGAAACTGTATGTGGGAAGACAAAAGGACCACAAGCTCCCTCGTCTTGAGGACAGATCCCTGAGGAAGTTAAGGACTGCTGCCTCCTGCAGCAAAAGCAGGCTCTGGGAAGCTAATCTGCTCTGCACTACCAGCAAGCTGTGATCACCACAGCTCTCCATTCTCATCTGTTTGTTCACTGCCGCACATAACATGTATCAAGCACTGTTCCAAACACAATAACCTCACAATGAAGCCAAACCTTGTCCTGTGGAACTCGAACTCCAGTGTAACTTTAGTGACAAGAGGAATGGATTCAAGGAACGAAAACAAATGACATTTTCATGTGGCATTTCCCACCACAGAGCCTACGACCAAACCTGAACCAAGTGTGGTATTGCAGGCTAGGATAGATAGAATGACTGGGTGATTCTGAAAATGGATCCAAATATCAACAATGACCTGCTAAGTGAGGCCATCAGCAAGTACTATGCCAGCATCCAAAAGCCTTCACCAAGGGTTTTTTATTTCATCAACATGCAGGATGTTTTCCAAGAAAACACTCAGCTTTAATCTTATAATGGAAATCAAAAGCAGATCAGAATTTACATTGCTGTATGCAAGAATAATTTTTGCAGGAATAATCACTCCCTGAAATGCAAAAATATCTATATTTAAATCATATTGGCTGAATGATATATATAGATAGCATACATTACCTATTTACAGAACATATTCTGTAGCTCATTGGACAAGAAGACTCAAGAAAAAAGCTACTGCTTAATTCTGTACTCTAGTAATAATAAATCCCATTTGGACACATGTAAGGAATTAATGGCCACCTAATCTGAATGGAAATTATAAGTAATAGATTTCAACCAGGCTTTTCTATAAAATGCCAAACAGTAAACACTTTAGGTTTTGCAAGCAACACAATCTTTTTCCAAAGTCTTCTTTGCCTTTGGGGTTTTTATTATGTATGGAGTTTTTTATTCATTTATTTGACAATATCAGAAAATAATAAAAACCATGCTTTTTGTGTGTATGCTGGTACTGGGGCTTGAATTCAGGGCCTGGGCACTGTCCCTTACCTTTTGCACTCCAGGCTAATACTCTACCACTTGAGCCCACTTCTGGCTTTTTAGTGGTTAATTTGTGACTAGGCTGGCTTTGAACCATGATCCTCAGATCTCAGCTTCCTGAATAGCAAGGATTATAGACATGAGCTACCCACACCTGGCTAGAAAAACCATTCTTAACTCCTGAGCCAAATAAACAGGCCTTCCATCATTGGTTGTTCTGCTTTCTAGCAGCACAAGAATGAGACTATAGAGTCTCAAGTATCTAACAATTAACACAGGAGGAAAGGCTACACATTTCCACATTACCTCTTTCAGCTTCTCTAGCTCATTCTGGAGGGCCTGTCTAGATATTTCCACTTCAATCATCTGTTGTCGGAGAGTTTCATTTTCATCTTCAGCTTTAGTACGCTTTTCCTCCACTGTCTCAAGTTCATGGTGCAATCTGACAGACACATCTTTGGCTACCTGCATCGGCCCACAGAGATAAACATCAGGATATAAAGTTTTCAGACCACATCAGAGGCAGAATTACTAAGTAATATAGTAGTACAATAAGTAACAAGATGGTTCCAGATATATTTAACAGACTTGTACTTAATGGAAGAGGTATTACAGGTTAAGCACCTGTGATTGATATCTGAATCATTTCAGATAAGGGACAGACGACTGGTAGTTTAAAACAAGAAATCAACCAAGCACTGGTGGCTCAAGCCTGAAATCCTGGTTACTTAAGGCAGCTGAGATCTAAGGATCCTGTATTGAAGTCAGCCCAGGCAGACAAATCCAAGAGACTCTTATCTCCAATTCACCACCACAAAGGCAAAAGAGGAGGTGTGGCTCAAGTCTTAAGAGTGCTAGCCTTGAGCACAAGCACTTAGACCTTGAGTTCAAGCCCCAGGACTGGCAAAAGAAAAACGGACAGAAAGAAGGAAGGAAAAGAGAAAGAGAGAGAGGAGAGAGGGAGAGAGAAAAAGAGAGAGAGAAGAAAGATAGAAAGAAAAAAAAAGAAAGAGAGAGAGAAAGAAAGGAAAGAAGGGAGGGAGAGAAAAAGAAAGAGAAAGAGAAAGGAAGGAAGGAAGCAAGGAAGCAAGGAAGGAAGGAAGGGAAAGGAAAGGAAAAGAAAAGAAAAGAAAGAATAAAAAAAATCAATCTTGTGAGGGGTCTATGACTCGTACTTTCATCTGGATTCAAAGGTAACTTTGGATAATCCAATTTCCTCACAGAATAGCATCGAGAATGCCAATTCTTCACATGCTTTATATGATAAATTACAAATAATAATAATGAACAAGTCAATATTTGTTTTAAACTTGCCTGACTAAAAATAGCAATAGTAATAATGAATTCTATATGCAGTAGATGTTCAGCATACTCAAGTTTTAAATTGTCTACTGTGGTGCTTGTGTGGTTAAAATGCTCAAATGTTCAAAGCAATTATACATCTTTACTTTCTAAAAGCAAATGAGAAAAGACTTTGTAAAGAAATAGAAATCACCCTTTCTTGCACTGAATGACATTTTCTTAGCAATTTATAACTTCGATAGAATTACAAAGATTCTTTTCCTGTTGTAATGAAAGCTAGATGAGATTGCATAAGTACTCTTGTACTAAGGAGGACATTATGCATAATTCATCTCTAGATAAATGATTTGATAATCAGGTCATGACAGTGAGCAATAGTATAAAGTCTGGGATTTCTTCATATCATTTCTGCCAGTGGTTCTCAAGGAGACTTAGATTATTAGTTACAAATCAGTTTTCCTTCAGTTAGGTCACCAATATACAAGTATCCCTCAGGTTATGAGAATGTCAGATTTTCCACATCCAAGAAACCTAAATAACCTTGAAGATGGTAGGAAGGTGGTAACTTTTAAGAGTAGTCCTTGACTTGACAACCAATAAAAATTTTTGAGCTTATTTCAGAAATAATCTCTAGGAATAGCTGCATAATTTCTATTCAGCTGTCAGAGTAACTGGCAGGTATTAATTCTTTTTTGCATTGTAGTTCCATTACAACGATTTTTTAAAGGTTTAGTTGAGATAATTTTATGACAGATTTAAACCTTATGCCATTCAAGTTATATAAGTAGACATACTCTATGGGCCATAACGTAAATAAAGAATGTTTGTGCTGAAATCGGCTGAGACAGACATAGTAGGAAAACATCAAGAATATGTGTCCCATTTGCGGGGGAGGGGGAGACAGCACTCTCTTGTAGCCCCAGTCCCCCCACAAAAGCCTGAGGGAGGAGAACGGCTTGAGCCCAGGAGTTTAAGATCAACCTCAATAACAGAGAAACCACAAAAAGAGAGACACAGACAGACTGAGAACCCATTTACCAGGAGGCTAGGAATCTGTGGCCCAGTGGTAGGGTGCTTGCCTGGCATAAGGGAGGCCCTAGATCCATACCCTGCACCTCTACCCTCAAAACAAGAAACTTTTGACAAGTCTGGAGTTCCATCTTCAGATAGCTAACCCCTTACCCCTAGGATGCCCAGGCCATCAGTCCCTCTAACTCACCTTCAAGTCTTGCTCTAGGCTTCTGATAAGTTCACCATCCACCTGCCCTGTTTCTGCCACTTTCAAGCTTTTCTGCTCAGCTTTCCTGAGCCGGTACTGTAGGATTCGGCAGTTCTTGTTAGCACGGTCCAGCTCTCGCCGGAGCTCCTGTAGTTGGTAAACATCTTCCTCTAAGTAGCTGTCTCTCATCTCTTCCATCTCAGCTCGGAGTTCATCCAGCTCATCCTAGGAAAACCAGACAGGGAAGGTTTATGAGCCAAATCAAAAAGGATGGCATTTCTCTCCTCCACACACCACCCTCATCCTATCTTCAACACTAAATACCAAATGCCTGTACCCTACCCATCAGCTCATGGCCAACCAGGTGCTTTGGTCAGGGACCTCTTCTGTTGGGATCTCCTGTGCCTTCTCTCTCTCTGGATTCATGGCGAAACAGCTTCTTGGGATTTATTCTACTCACAATATTTCCTTACATAATCATAAATACAATCTTCTCTACAGATAATTAAGCCTTCAGATTAAAATCTAACATTGACCTAAACCTATATCTCTAAGGCACAATTTAGATACTAAGATGAGTCAGATAGGCCCAGCCCTCAAAGGACATAAACTAGTAAGATAATAACTGGTCATTGCTCTGGAATTACAGCACTCCTGCATATGTCTCTGAAATGTTTGTTCTAGCTGGATGCTGATGGCTTATGCATGCAATCTTAGCTACCCATGATGCTGAAATCTGAGGGCTACATTTCCAAGCAAGCCTGGGGAGGAAAATCTGTGAAATTCTTATCTCTAATTAACCATCAAAAATAAAAATAAAAGATATTGAAGTGAAACTGTGACTCAAGTGATAGAGTGCTAGCCTTAAGGAAAAAAAAAAACTCAGAGACAGCACCCAACCCCTGAGACAAGCCCCCAGGACTGGCACAAAAATAAATAAATAAGATTTTGTTCCACAATACCAGATTCAGCATTGACTAATGGACTCCGACCTTAAAATGTTTTCCTGTTACACACATTGGGCTTACTCCTGTTTTTCCTTTCCATATCTTCTTTCTTTATCATCAAAAAGAAAACACTCTGGGAATGACTTTGATACCTTGTACTCATAAATCAATACGTTGAACTGAAACTCATTTGTACAACTTAAAAGTAGACACTCTAAATATGACAGTAAACAAAGAATGGCAGGGCTCCTTGTTTTGATCTAAGTTCCCATAGTAGGCCCCAGCAAAGCACCCTAAATTTCAAAATGAAGTCATTCACACTAGAGCTCCAAGTCATCAAACCAAAACCAAGTTGTAAGGTATAATCAGGGAAGAGGTAACTGCAATTGGACAGTTTCAAAATCAAGACCGGAATTCTCCCAGCTCTAACGTTTGAGGAAGGGAAGTGGGGTTAAAGCAGAGGTGAGTGGATGTTAACTATTCTTCCATGATTCTTTCCCTAAGTCCCTGTATCACAATGTAAGTACTTTAGAAACCACACAAGGCCTCAGGGCTCTTTCAGCAATCTCCAATCCCCCTCCATCTAGAAAATCAGATCTTCTCCCTTCAACCAAGGAAACACTAATTCTATTTTATGAAATATGCCTGATTTTAGAATTGTAAAATAGAGCCAATTAAAATCTTTAAAGTAAACTTGACTTCTGACAAGAGAACCCAAGGCTTCCCACTTTCCTCAGTTCCACAGCCACAAGCAATGCTCTCTTTTCCCTACTCTATCTAATCACCCCAGACCAAGGACCAGGCCCAGGCCCCCAGCTTCCCTCCCACTTGGCAGTTTCCCCACTGGAGTTACTCTTTCATATGTAAATCAAACCATCTCACTCCCTACCAAACCCTCCAGGGCTTCTTTTTTGTCCTTTCTTCCCTACCAGGCACATCCAGCTTAGTAGGTCTAGAATTGTCTGGAGACCTCATCTACTATTCCCTCTCCTAGAAACGCTCCCCCCTCCCACCCTAGATCTTAGGGGGAGCTCACCGCCTAGAAGGCACCCCGCTGATGCCTCCCCTTGGTTAGCCCCTGGCCTCTAAGGCCATCACATTATTTGTTCTTTCTTTTTTCCCTAGTTACTATTTGTCATCTGCCCTAAAAGGTGAGCTTTGAAAGACTTGAAAGCGTTGAAAGGCCTGGTAAGATTGTCCTTCAGACTTTCAAAAAACATTTGTGGAATGAATACACCAGAACAACAAGCACCACTTAGAAAGACCAAATCCCAGAGATGACTAAAATGAGGCTGAACCACAGCACTGCTCAGCTCCAGTTCTGTAGCCTAATTATGGAAACCATTTCCCAAAAACAGAGATTTATCTGCAGTATATAGAATATACATTATACCCAAAAGACTTCAACCAAAAATCATTTGCAAGGAAGGAAATTAAAGGAAAAATTCTAGAAATGTACCTGCATGCTTCAATAACTGATTATTCAAATGCATCAAGAATAGCATGTAATTAATCCCTCTTTAGTTTGTTCAGTTAGTATTGAGTTTCATGAAGAAAATTTTTGAAGTAGGGGCATGGCTTAAGTGGCAGAGCACCTGCCTAGCAAGCCCAAGACCCTGAGTTCAGGGTAAGAGACATAGAGACAAGAGAGACTCTCTCCCAAACTTGGACATCCTAATCAGGCATGGGGAATGTCTGACCAACCACAGAATGCCTGAAAAATTATTTGGTACATGATCGATAGACATGTATGCTTCTCAACAGCAGCCCCATCTGCTTGTCTTGATAATTTTGTATGACCCACAAACACTGTCATAAAACTCCAAAGGGCCCTTGGCCAAAATGAGAGAAAAGAACAGGGATAAAAGGTGGCAGACATTGCATGTGGCAGATAACATGTGGCCCATCAAGGCACTTCTTATTCCCACAGTGCCTCAGGGTCCTGTTCAAAAGCTTCTTCCCATAATGCCCTGGGTGTCTGTTCAACCAATAAAAAGAGCCAGGGCAGTATACATATAAGCCATCAAGCAATCAGTGCAAAGCTCAGAGGAGGATCAATGCAAGAAGCTCAGTACCATAAAAGTTCCCCCAGAGGACTCTATTGGATTTCTCTTTGAGGTCCCTTTCATATGGAGAGCTTTCTTTCAAGGCTATCCTTTCACTTTGAAATACTTTTATAGGCAGAAAAAAAAATCTAATTCCTTCCCTTAAATATCAGAAAAAAGGTTTCCCTAACCCTGTTTGTCAATTTTTGTCCTGCATTCAATTTGTTCCTGGATTCCTACTGTCCTCCCAAATTCTGCGTTTGTTCTTAAAGTGTATAAGAAAATTCAGAAGTTTCCAACTCTGCAATCTTAGGGTAGAACAGACATTGAACAGAAAGAAATACCCTGAAAATGAGTTTATCCTGAGTAAGACGAAGGAAACAGAACAAATGAACTGGAAACCATAGAAAACTATGGATAGGCCAAAGTGAAGGAAGCTGAGGTCCCAGTCAACATCAGCTACATGCAGTGATCTCTGAAAACACACAATCAGGCAACTCATCACCTTCCAACTGCAGCTCACAGATTTCTCCTGTTTGTCCACACTATCCACATCAAGAGATTCTCCTAACCAAATGATGCATTTTCCTAAGCAAACAAAGCATTTCAGTGAACAGCCAGACATTCCTCAGGTTGAAGAATAAACCTCCACTAACTTCCTGGTGCTCAGATGAGTAAAAAGCTTCTTTTCTCAGGCTTTTATAGAAATGTCCATGGTTGAAAATGTCACACACACACACACACAAAGATGTAAGTGTAAATCTCAGCAGTGAAAATGTTGTGAAGTATAACCAAGTTTAATTTTTGTTTCCTTCCCAGAGCTCTTTCCCTGTAAATCTTGTTCCTGGAAGGAAAATCTGCTGGACCCAGGAGCTTTTGCACCCAACCTATAGCTGGACCGTTGAATACCCAAGAGCAGAATGGACAAGCCAGGTTCTCCAGGAGACCAAGGACCCAGATCTTGCAAGAAAATGCCTGCCACTCTTCACGAAAGAGGATGCTGCCCAGATGCCCGACTCCTATTGTGGCTCTGATGGCAAGAACTGCACCCCACCAGCAGACCAAAATCTTTAAAATGGCTTATAGTCATCATTCTTGAAAGACAGCAGAAAGTTCTGACTCTTCAAAAATCTAGGACATCCACATCTCAAAGTCTGATACACCAGACTTTGAGAAAGAACCCAATTGAAACATTTCTCGGTACAATCAGGAGGTAATTGTTTCACTGGGTAACTAATAAAAAAAAAAGTAGTTTAATACAAGAAATAATCAGTATAGTCATCACAAGTACACTTCTAGATCAGTACATATGTACACATACAAATCCACAGTGATTCTAACTCTCGTTCATGGGAGAAATGTGATGGATTTACATTCTGCAAAGTATCTATAGAAGTCAGTCATGAGTGAGATGCAGGTGGCTTCTACCTGTAATCCTAAACTACTGCGGATTACAGACAGAAAGGATTGTGATACTATCTCCAAAATAACCAGCAAAAATCAACACTTAAGGAATGGCTCATGTGGTAGAGCTCTAGCTAAACAAGCCAAGTGATTACAAGCCCCTAATTTCAAAGTCCAGAACTTGAAAAAAAAAAAGTTCTAAATGTTATACACACTTTAAGATGCAGAACATATCTACCATAATGTTAAATAGTAAATATGGTATACAGACATGTAAACAACAATTATTGGGTTTAAAATGTTTAAGAGCTGGACATATCCATATTCCAATCATAGAGCAGTCCATATGTAAACATACTATCAACACCAGTTCACTAAAAAGAAAATTAGAAAGAACATAATTGCTTATATTTGAGTTGCTGCTCTTTATAACCCAAATTTTATCTCAATTTCTAAAACAGAAAAACATTCTTTATTAAACACTTTACCCTTATGATAATTCTGTCAGGAGCATATTACTCCATTTAAAAAAAAAGGAAACTAAACTGAGACTGGTTAATGTATCCAAAAGCCTCACAACAACAAAAGACACAAAGCAGCAAATCCACTGCTGTCTGCGTTTAAACTCACACACACACTTTATAGTTAACACTACAAAGTGCTTGCTATAAATGATCTTCAATTGTACTTTTAAAAGCCCACTATCCATGTAAACTAATAAAATTAGCCTAGCATTTACAGATTGACAATTGTCAACATACAAATGTATCCATTAGAGTAACTAGTCCCAAGGAAAACACTGCAATAAAGATATGAATATGCCCATCTC